ATACATTATAGGTCATCTTCAGCCATTTGGAGTTAGAATTTTTCAAGTTTGGTTTGCCAGATTTTTGTGCCAACTTCAACATGACATAAATTTTTTCTCAAGCATCCTAATAAAACCTTTTTTTGGCACATTATGATCTTTGACATGATGTTAACAAATTTCAAAAATAATGGAATGAAAAAGCCTATTGTACAAGATGCCCCATTGATGCAAACATTGTTACTTGGAATTGAAGATTTGCACCATGATCAGATTTTTACCTCAACTAATCTTCATTTACAAGCCAAATTATCACGTGCTTTCAATCTAAACATGATTAACCAAGTTACCTGAAGTAAAATGACTTGTAAAACACATGGCTTGGCTGAGTTTTGATGCATTTCAACTCACACTTTTACCATGATGAGGGTGCACACGAATTCACTCAATTTTCACTCATTTCACCCCTCTCAGTATCCCATCATCTTCAACTATAAATAAAGAGCCTTGCTACCTTCATTGGTAAGTTTTTGAGAGCCAGAAAACCCATGTTTCACCTTCACTTTTTTTGCAAAAAAGTGAGTTATCTTGTTTTGATTTCCAACCATTTTCAACTCAATTTCTTGATTCAGTTAGCTCCATCTCCTATGAAGCTTATGCAAAAAGAATCAAGGTCTAAGAGTCTCTGAATTTCTCCAACCAAATCCAGTTTCAAAGCTTCTCAGATCGTTTTTGGACAAGGTAGTTTGAAGTTCCATTTTCAATCAAATAAGTTACCACAATGTAGTCCTTTGCTTGCTGAATGTTTCCCCTAACCTAGATGGCTTTGATTCATTGTGTGCATTATTTAATTTTTATTTTTGTGTTTGTGTATTCTTCTAATTTTCCTCAAAATTCTCTCTACTCCCTTTCAATAAATGAAAATGGAGAGTGAAGTTGAGTTCGCCTTCATGAGACGGTTGCAATGATGAAATGTTCTTATCGAATGAATTCAAATGCGTTCCTATGTTATTTTTGAACTAATTTCCATCATGCACCTTCATCTGAGGAGCGTGGGATCTACCACGTCAATTAATAAAATCAGATCCTACACTCCTCCTTTTTTCTCTTTTATTTTATTTTCTGTTTTTATTTTTAAATTGCTTTTTATTCAAAAATTCATAGTAATTTCATTTTTAATCTAAATAATTTCAAAATAATTTCTAAGATTCTCTTTTATTTTTCCCTTTATGGTTTTATATTTTTCATAGTTTATTTTTTTTATTATTTTTTATTTTTCTTTATTTTTCTTTTTTTTGAGCATTTTAATTAGTTTAAAAATACTTTTATGCATCCAAAAATTTTCAAAAAATTTATTTATCATTCTTGACTTGTTTCTGACTTGCATGATTTTTCTTGGCCATTTGTGATTTGATTTGATGCATCATTTGCATTTTCATTAGTGCATTTTAATTCATATTATTGCATTTTATATTGGTTTGACTTGTGTTGACTATTGTTGGCCTTGGATCTTGGTTGATTTGATCATAAGTCTCATCAAACTCAATGGATCTTGGATGTTGATGGGGTGAAAACCTTAATTCACCAAAATGGATGATTAATTTTGATGATGACTTGATCATTACTTGGATCCAATTTGGTTTTGCCTTCCTTTTTATTTTTCACCTTTCTTTGATCAATTGGGAAGATGTGTAGGCCATCTTGTTCATGAGATTTTGAGTGGTGCTTGATGAACTTTCATCATTTCAAAGCTACCATTTGATTGATCATTTGATCAATTGAGGTACTTTGGAGTGATGCATAAGTTTGTCCAAAGTACCATGAGAGGTTGATTGATATAATCGATCCATATTTCCTTGACTTAGGTCTTGATCAACTTTGTTTTGACTTGTGCTACATGTTTTAAGAGTGTGATATTTACATCACATCTCTAACATGTATGGTACATAAATTATTATGGACCGGTCTCCCATAGTATGATCTTCCTTATAGATTGTGCTATGATTGCTTAACATAGAGCTAAATTTATCCCTAATCGGAAAGTGATCATATTGGTCCAATTTTAAATATGAGTCATCTTTAGTTTAGATGTAAATCTCATATCTCCATAGTGTGTATATTCTTTTCCATCTAAGAGAGCTAGTGGAATAGTTGTTAATTTTATCCAAGTTGGAGCCCTTCTCAATGGATGATGCAAAGCTCTCATACTTGTTGGGTTGATTAATTGAGTAATCTATTTTAAATGACAAAATGACTTCTCCACTAACACTAACTTTAATTGTACTAACATTTATTTTTATGTCATTTACTTTTATGCACATTTATCTTTAAGTCATTTACTTTCTTGCACTTTATATTACTTTATTATTATCATTATCATATCATATTATCATCTTGTTTATATTTATGCCTTTTATATTTGTCCACTTTAACTTTTTATTTCTTTTTAAGACATTAATAAAGGCTAAACATCCTAAAAATTCTTAATGTTCCTTGGACTATTTGGTGACTATCCTTTTCTCATGGACGATGAACTTAGAATTAGGTTCCTTGCCCTATGCTTTGGAGTTATATCTTGAACCCTTGGATTTTATTTGGTACTTTGACCTTGAGAGACCTCTTTGAAAACTTGGCTTGAAGATTTGGCCTTCATCTGATGCTTGATTATTTCTCTACTTGTTATTGCTTATCTTGTTGCTTGAGTCTAAAAGATGGGAGTTTTGACTAGTTTATGTCAAAGGCTTGTATCTTGGTTAGATGTTTCCTTCCTTAACTTTTATTTTATGCTTTAGGATAGTCCCTTCATCTCCTCACCTTCTTAAATGTTCAAAATCTTCTTCCTTTTTCAAAATTTGTCTTTCAAACTAGAACCTCTTTCATAATAAACTTTGACTTTGTGAAGTGCATTTTCAAACTGATTTTATTAATAAATGCTAATCAATCTTAAGCATACTTAGACCATTTTTTAAAAGACTTAAAAAAGACTTAACTCTTTCAAACCATTTTGTGCCTTTTGTGCCCTTTTTACTTTTAAAACTTTTCATAAAAATTAGACATGAGTCATTTCCATAGTTGAGATATGATCCTCTTATCCTCATATTATTGCTTGAAATGAGTAGACTTTTTCCACCTTAGAGAGTTAGTGCATACTTGTTGATTTTATCCAAGTTGGAGCCCTTCTCATGGTGATGCAAATGTCCATTTTCACATACTTATGGGTGATTAGTTGAAGTTTTCTCCTTAAAATGACAAGTTGTCTTTTCATTTAAAATGAATCATAACAAACCATTTTGTTATTTTTACCATGAACTACGAGGTTTTGATCCTCCATTTCACTTTGTGGGTACATAGGCACGAGGCTCAGGAAGTCTTGTCAAACACAACTTCTCTTCTCACCTTCACCATCTTTTACAAGCAACACCTTTTTAAGCCAAACGCTAGATTTTCAAAGAGGTTCCTATAGAGTACTATAGACGTTTTGAGTGCTAACACCTTCTCTTTACGTAATCAACCACCTTACCCTTGTCTCTGTTTTTATTAGTTTTTGTTTAAAAAACTTCTTTATCTTTTGTTCGCTATTTTCCCTTTTCTTTGAAAAATAAATGTGCGGTGGCGACTCTTGTTTTGTGAGTTATGTTAATCAATAGATTAATCTCAAACTTTCCCACTACAGGTATGTTTGAAGGTTCACCTTGATAAGGCGGATTCAAAGGTTCAAAGGTTAGAAAAGTTTAGAATATTGGTTGGTTGACTCTTGAAGGAGCCAAATCCCGCATCATTAGAACATATAGGGAAGTTACTAAGACATGATCGTCATTCTTCGGTGGAGGAGAACGAGCTCTGGTAGCTTGAGTAGTTGCTGCAACGAATTTGGCAAATTGAAGGATTTTCAAAGTCATCATAGCTTGAGGAGTTCTATATTAGGTTATTCACGAGGAAATGAGAAACAATGGTTCTTTGCGGAATTCATAGGAATCGAGTGTCAATTTCCACATATTATGCACTATTATGCTTGAGAACTAGAAATTACTTGTGAAACGGTGAAATGAGATCTTATATTGGTGGAGCAAGTTTCTAGTGCAGAGGAGAGGGGTTGACCTGCAAGATTAACCCTCCAATGTCTAAGTCAGTGAGAGAATAAAAATTGATGTGAGAGTAATAAATTTGAATACTTAAAATAACACGTTTTCTTCCTTATATAGTGTGAACAGTTAAAATTGTTTGTGTGAGAGGAGGCGTGTTGTGTGTGTGGTCGTTGAATCTAATTAAACAGTGAATGATGTATCTGAAGGGTAGAATCATTTGCTCTTAGTGGAATGCGGAATCACCTGCTCCATGTACTCTTTCGCTTGTTATTGCTCTCGAGTCTTTTGCTATGAAACTTGTGAATGGCGCACAAAAAATATCTCGGTTTCTAACTTCAATTTTTTTTCTATTTGCACGACTTGAATTTGAGACCTTATTCAAGACATTTAAGTTCAGTATCTTGTATTGATATAGTGAAGTTTATTTGTATTTCAACAAATAAGCGAAATTGTGTTATGAGTATATTCTTTATCTCATATTTCATAATAAACTCACATATGTCAATTATGTATCACTTTTCTATATTTAACACAAAATATATATCACTTTCCTACATACTTGCTTAGCTAGTTTGTCATGGACCACACTAGCTAGCTTCCCACTTGCATCCATATTCAACTATTGTAATTAATATGTGAGATCCTTTAATTATCAACTAAACAAACAGAAGAATTCAAATCACCAAGAAAAGTGTAGACCCATGTTTTGTAATATTGATTAAACTCTCTTCCACTAGGACAAAGTTCTTATATTGAAATATAATTATTGTGCATCATCTTGTACGTCATATGAAAAGCCTTTCTCTCCTCTTCCCAAGAATGATCTCTTCCATTTATATATAATCCTTTCTGTTGCAAAGCATGCAGAAGTGAAAAGTCTCTCTCTCACCTAAACTTTTAAAGAAATTCATTATATATATGCCATTTCTATATAACATGTGGCCTACATTAGTAGCTAATAAGATACTCAAGAAGCGACTAGGAAGCACCAATTTTGTAGCAGATAATCCTAGTTTTGATGAACCCTTGTTGAATTATGCAGACATTGATCATACTCCTGAAATTGTTTTTAATCATCACAAGGACAAACACGAATACAAGTAAGAATACAATTCTATATTCTCTGATCAATATTGTTTTTCTTTATCCTCTTAATTTTTCTAACTTTTTATTTTTATGTATAGGATTTTTGTTAGTACATGGAACGTAGGTGGAATTGCACCAGAAGAAGATCTAAACATTGATGATTTGTTGGAGACAAACAACAACTTATGTGACATCTATGTACTAGGGTACATAATATTTCAACTGATTCATGTTTTCTAGCAGAGAGCATGCACTTTACAAACACTGCATTTCAGTTTTTCATCTCATCATAAGTATTCATTTGTTCTTGTTTTTTTAACAATACAGGTTTCAAGAAATAGTGCCTCTAAAAGCTTCAAATGTTTTAGGATCAGAAAACAATGAGATTTCCAATAAATGGAATTCCATAATTAGAAAAGCTTTGAATAAGGATCATAGTGAATCTCCACATGAAGATTTCCAATGTATAATCAGCAAACAAATGGTTGGAATATTCATATCTGTATGGACAAAAGGAGATATTCGTCCATTCATTCAACATCCAAGTGTTTCATGCATAGGTTGTGGCATAATGGGATGTTTAGGAAACAAGGTGAGAGATATATCACTATAACACAAACCCTAGTTTATTATAGGCAAATTTCATAGTTAGTAATCACAATTTTTTCGAACGGTTTCGAAAAAAATTGTTCATAAATGAAGTGTTTTGCACTATAAGCTCATCAAATACGTCATATATCAGTGTCAACATCGATAGTCTAATATCATGCATCTCATTGGCTATCAAAAAATCTTATTATAACCAATTATTTTGCAGGGTTCTGTGACAGTGAGATTTCAATTACATGAAACAAGCTTCTGCTTTGTGTGTAGCCATCTAGCTTCTGGGGGCAAAGAAGGAGATGAAAAGTGTAGAAATTCTAATGTTGCTGAAATATTTTCTAGGACTACTTTTCCTAGAGGTCCTTTACATGATTTACCAAGAAATATTCTAGATCATGAGTAAGTCACGTTTGTTTTTTATTATTACTAATAATTCTTTTACCCTCTTGTGTTTAATTTAATAATCATGTACGTTTCAAATTAAATCATGAAAACTAGGAGAAAATATTAGTATTTATTTATATTTTGATCAATATTCTCCAACTTTGGTCCCCAGAGAAAAAATGCATCCAAAATAGTAATATATATTAATCTTTTCAAAGTTTGATAAACTTTGAAAAATTGTGATTAAACAAATTGTTTGTTTGTTAGTATTATAATATAATGGGCCGGTGAATAATTAACTAACTACATTGTAAAGAGATTATTGCACTTGCATTGCATTGCATTGCATGCAGTTATAGAAATATATTAAATGTAACAGTTAACCATATAATAATTGATTAATGAAACATGGCTCTCTCAACTTGTAGTTAATTAAATATATTCTGTATTATTTTAGCTAAATAATTAATCACATCTTGATTTATGCAGTCATGTAATATTGCTTGGAGATTTAAATTATAGAATTTCTCTACCAGAAGAAACAACACGCTTACTTGTTGAGAAAAAGGACTGGGATTCCTTATTAGAAAATGACCAAGTGGGTAGAAAAAGTCATCTTCAATTCTTTTTTTTAAGAAAAATATTTAAACAAACTTATCTCTAATTTGATTGCATCCAATTGGAATGAAGCTAATGATGGAGCTAATGAATGGCAACAATTTAAGAGGGTGGCATGAAGGACCAATCAAATTTGCACCTACCTACAAATATTGTCCTAATTCAGATATATATTATGGTTGCTGTTGTCATGGAAAAAAGATAGAAAAGAGGAGAGCACCAGCATGGTAAGTAAGAATTTAACAATATAAAATTCATTATTGTATTCGTTCACATATACTAATATACTAAAAAAACACAAAACACAGACACAAATACGAACATCACATATATGAACCTGATATACTATAATAATTTAAGAAAATAAAATATCTAAATGTAATTACATGAATCAGTGTTGTGTGTGAGACAATGCGCATTTGATGAGGTGTCAGTGTTATAGATTGTTCAAGTTTAATATCAACATTTATACTTATATAATGAATTGTTTGCTATAATTTTTATTTTAGGTGTGATAGAATAGTATGGTATGGAAAGGGTTTGAAGCAACATGAGTACACAAGGAGTGAATCAAAACTATCAGATCATAGGCCTGTTAGGGCAATATTTACTGCAGTGGCAAGGGTTTCATCAGAGGTCAAAAGCTTACAGAACTTGTCCCTATCAGAAAGATTTGAGCAAATTAAAACTCCTTTTGAAGTTTCCACCAATGATGAACTTGTATGTAGAAAACAATTAAGCTTCCGGTTGTAAATTAATCATAGTGTGATTATGGACATAAATTAATGTGTATAAACGAGAAGAGAGAATTAGATTTTGAGTGGAAAGAAAGTGGGAAAGTTGTTACAAAGGACATAAAGTTTATTTTTTTTGCTGAGGAGTATACAGTATAGTTGGTTGTTGTTGAATTATGTAGATATCATGTTATTTTAATGTGAAAGATGTTGCAACTTGAAACACTACAGTCCCAATTAAATGATTTTCTGTATCTTAAAGCTTAAAATTAAAATATCATCTAGTGTCCACTCCAAATTGATTAATCAGAATTTTCTTCTAGAGTGCAACTGAGAATCAAATTAATGGGAGGATTCAAACTCATTTGTTAATCATGATAATAAACAAAAAGTAAAACTAATCTCCCAATAAGACCTGAGTTATAAATTATATGCCAATTATTGAGCTAGTTGGAAGGACATTAATTAATTGGTCATAATAGTATTTTTATAATGAAGGCTTAAAAAAAAACAGATTTTGATAGCAATCTAAGTATGATTATTGATTTATATATATAAATGTTTGGTTGATTAATCTATCTTTTAACATATTAAATTATAGTCAGTCTCTTGGTTTTTGGTTCTGGTGGTTTGTCTCCATCTAGTCATGTTCATTCAGATGCCATTTCAATTCTTTAGGGATCTAAGGATGTTGGTTTTCTTTTAAGGGAGGGGATTCGTTTGAAGTATGAATTTGGTAGAATTGGAAGCATGTGATGCCTTGGCTAAGGCTAATAGTGTTAGATAATACTTCTATGTCGAATGGATCCAGACTGAATCGTGAACGAAATCACTTTCCTTAAAAGTATTTCAAGCACACTCTCAGATTGTCTTAGAGTTGGAACGGCCTGAATACCCAGGATAAGTCAGCCTTTTTCTCGAAACTGCACAAGACTGATGAAGTTTCGAATGCAAGGAAAATGTTGGAATTATATGGAAGAGGATTTCAGAATTTGGAGTGAATGATTTCGAATTATGAAGCATATATTTATAGCCATGCATGTGTCTTTTCAGAAGGTTGCAATTCTTCATAAACACACTCTCTAATGAGCATTTGCAATGGTTCACATAAAATATCATGCACCACTTCGTCAAGTGTCATGTATTTCAAATTCAAATTCAAAATCAAACTCTAGGCAGCGAATAAGTCTGAGCGATAATTAAAAATTAAATTCGCAGTATACCGGCCGAAGGCCGGTCCGCCCGCCGGAGGCGGCCGGAGTCGTGCCTAAGTGCTCAAGTGCCGTCTACAAGCCGCCACTAGCGCCTCTACGCCCACGCCCCCGGTTCCGGTTCCGGTTCCGGTTCCGGAGCCGGAGCCGGAGCCGGAGCCGGTGTCGCCGGTGGCGACACCGGCGAGGGGTGTTTTGTATGAGACAAGTGACATAAGTTTTGGCACCACCACATGTGACTATGTGGCACTTTATCCTTTTTGGCTCTTTTGGAAATTAAATTGTTCCAAGTGCCTTATAAATGCTATTTAATTTTACTCCTCTTCCAATGTGGGACTAAGCATTTATTATAACACCCACTTTGTCATTTTGGAACAACTTTAATGGAAATAAATTATTATTTCCAACAATCCCCCACTTGTTCTAATAATGACAAAATAATAATTCCAGAAATGGGACATAAGAAGTATTAATACAGTTAAGTATCTTTCGATTTTAAACTTAACCTTAGTAAGAATAACACAAGGTTTAATCGGAATATTAGGTAGCAATGCTTTTAAACCATGAATCCATTTGAATAGACCGGTGTTACCTTACACACACTCCTTAAAGATTCTTCCTCTGCATAACTCGCTTAGCACTTATTTATGGCCATGTGCTATCCTGTTTCATGAATTTTTCATGAGAGAAACTCCAACTCTCACTTTGAGACGGCACCATCTCATAATTCACATAGGTGAAGTTCATATAGTATCTGTTTCCAATAGATACGTACCCTCGGTATTGAACTTCATTAAGAGTTTAAGATAAAACTCAACCCTCTTTTCTAATGTCAACATAATTATGAAATGTTAGACAATTATCCAAATCAACGACTTGTTGTTACCCATTGAAAATCTTAACGTTAATGTTCTGTTAACTTAAGATTGGGTTGCCGCCATTGTCGGAACTCTTACTCAAGGAGTTTCAACCCCATACCTCTCGAGGTTGTTCTTACTAAGTCTCTGGCCAGCGGCTTAGTAAACGGATCAGCCAAATTATAGCTTGTTCGTATATACGTAAGTGAAATGATTCCATCCTTAATCAGTTTTCTTACGAACGAATGTCTAAGTCCTATATGCCTGGACTTTCCATTATACACTTCGCTAAATGCTCTTGCCAAAGTGGCCTGACTATCGCAGTGTATCATTACCTTTGAAACATTGTCTTTAGCCAATGGAACTTCCAAAAGAAGATCCCTCAACCACTCTGCCTCTTGACTAGCGGAAGCGAGAGCCACGAATTCTGATTCCATGGTCGAAAGAGTAATGCATGTTTGTTTCTTGCTCTTCCAGGAAATTGCTCCTCCAGCTAGTGTAAATATCCACCCAGTTGTAGATTTGTGATTTCCCACGTCAGAGATCCAACTGGCATCGGTATATCCTTCTAGTATAGCAGGAAACCTACCATAATGAAGACCAAGATCTTTGGTTTTCAACAAATAACCAAATATCCTCGTGATTGCCTTCCAATGTTCATTACTTGGATTACTAGTAAATCTACTCATTTTACTAACTGCAAATGATATATCGGGTCTAGTACATTGCATTAAGTACATAAGACATCCGATCGCACTTGCATATTCTAATTGAGCCACTGCTCTTCCATCATTCTTTTCAAGTTTGATTACATGATCAAATGGAGTAGTTACTTCCTTGAATTTCAGGTGTTTGAACTTATCAAGCATTTTCTCAATATAATGTGTTTGATTAAGTTCATAACCCCCACTATTTTGCTTAACTTTTATTCCTAAAATTGTGTCAACAAGCCCAAGATCTTTCATCTTGAAAGTGGAAGTTAGAAACCTTTTTGTTTCTAGAATTCCATTAAGTCTATTGCTAATTATTAGCATGTCATCAACATAAAGACACAAAAATATTACAGTGTTATTATACACTTTTGTATATAAACACTTGTCACAAGAATTAGGAATAAATCCATTTGACATTATCGTAGAGTCAAACTTTTGATGCCATTGTTTTGGTGCTTGTTTTAAGCCATATAGAGATTTGACAAGTTTGCACACCTTCTGTTCATTTCCAGGAAGGACGTGTCCTTCTGGTTGTTCCATGTAGATTTCCTCATCGAGGTCTCCGTTTAGGAATGCTGTTTTAACATCCATTTGATGAACAATCAGATCATTTAAAGATGCTAAAGCAAACAACAACCTTATAGTGGTTGTTCTCGCTACAGGTGCATAAGTGTCAAAATAATCTATACCTTCCTTTTGTCTAAATCCTTTTGCCACTAATCTTGCTTTATAAGTGTTTAATGTACCATCACTATGATATTTCTTTTTAAACACCCACTTGCATCCAATGGGTCTTGATCCCTTTGGTAAATCAACAAGTTCCCAAGTGTGGTTGGACATAATTGAATCCATTTCATCTCGGATAGCATCTTTCCAAAAAGAGGAGTCTCTTGAAGCTATTGCTTCCTTATAAGTTTTAGGATCTTCCCCTACTTGAAGAATTACCGGAATGCTTTTAATAAAATTTGTATTATTTCCTTCAACCAGATAAAATGAAATGGATTGAGAATCAATTTCGTCTGGTCCTAGGTTCTTTATTTTCCGGACTCTTTTGCTTATCCTAGGTTCGGGTCGTGGTTCATTTATTCGAGATGTGTCTTCAGGTTGTATTTCTACAATCCGAGAAGAGTCCTTTTCACAAGATTCTTTGTTTATGGCCGACTCTGATTCTTTATCCTTAGTTATAAGGTTTTCAAAGAATTCTACATCCCGGGATTCAACAATAATATTAGACTCTAAATTTAACAGTCTATATGCTTTGCTATTTTGTGCATATCCTACAAATGCACATCTTATCCCTCGAGGACCCAACTTGGTTCTCTTAGGATCCATGTTTTTGTAATATGCCACACACCCCCACACCTTAAAGTAGCCAATATTTGGTGTCATGCCCTTCCATACCTCATATGGAGAAATTCCACTTCTCTTTAAGGGAATTCTATTTATTATGTGACAAGCGGATAATAAAGCTTCGCCCCACAAATTGAAAGGTAGTTCGGAATGCAATAACATGGCATTCATCATTTCTTGATATGTTCGATTCTTTCTTTCTGCTATGCCATTTTGTTGTGGTGTTCTAGGTGCCGAACATTCATGTATTATACCATGTTCTTCACAAAATGCATCAAATTCAGTGGAGAAGTATTCACCGCCCCTATCACTCCTAAGGACTTTTATACTTCTACTTAATTGATTTTCCACTTCTGCTTTGTAACTCTTAAAGGCATTAAAAGCCTCATCTTTATGCTTTAAGATATATACATAAGTGTATCTAGAGCAATCATCAATAAATGTAATGAAATATCTATTTCCCCCACGGGTCAACATGCCATTAAATTCGCACAAATCTGAATGTACAAGATCAAGCAGATTTGTATTTCTTTCAACACTTTTGAAAGGTTTCTTAATCATTTTTGATTTAACACATAATTCACATTTATTGAAATCTTTGATATTACATGATATCAAGCCAAGTTTAATTAGTCTCTTCATTGAACTAATACCAATATGTGCTAATCTATTGTGCCATAAAGTAACTGAATCAAGCATGTAAGCAGAATTAGAAATTTCATTAATCATGTTATCAGTAATACATAGTTTGATCATTCCTTCAGCGGAATATCCTTTTCCAACAAACACACCATTACGGGTCAAGATAAGTTTGCCCGATTCATACACAGATTTAATACCCGGTTTTCCCAATAAATCCCCACTAACAAGATTCCTATTCATGTCTGG